CATCGCTGCCTACGCCGACGGCCAGAGGCCCGCGCATCTACATTTTTTCGCCTGACCCCATCAGTGCCGACCCAACTACACCACCACGCGCATGCCTCGCGGCGGATATGCGCAGCAGCAAGAAGGTTTCGGTCATCCCTTGAGGGTGAATCTAGCCCTGCTCGCCAGAAAGACCCCCCCCTTCACTACAACCCATGTCTAAGCAAAAGCTTGTCGAGGAGCGAGGGGAAGAAGGGAGAAAGCATGCAGCTGTGATATCTAATTGTTTTTGTTGCTTGAAACCATCCAGGTTGCGAGCCGCGTGGTAATTATAGAGAAAAAGGACGCGGTTCCCGTGTCGCCTCTTAGTGGAGATAACGAGCCTCCACAATTTGGGAGAAACGTGCCTGGCCACTGGCCAAGGCACGAACCTCACAAATACACACAGACAGGTGCTTGATTTGAGGCCGCCAACAAACCCCGAGCCTCGCCCAAGAAAACAAGAGGGTCTTGGCTGCCAGTCTTGATGGAGACCGTTTTGTGTGTCAAATTTTTCTTTCCAAGGTCTTCGGTGTAACCGTCGTGTCGGTCCTTCAACTCTCCCCTTCACGACGAACCAACCACATTTCTTTTGCCCCATCTCAACCATAGTCTATCGGTTGGTATCGGCATGTACCATGCATACATGTATGTTGTTCAGTTGTGCTTTTGGGGGGTGACATCTTGTTCGCCTACACCCTTGATCTGATGTGCCTGAAAAATAGACCAACGGTTTCAGAGAACAAACACACCTTCCCTGAGCGAGCGCTCCAGCCAATTTATCAACTCAATCGAGTTGTTGCGCTCGACTTGAAGCGATCGGTCCTTCTCGGTTTTGAAGCAACAATGTCCTGAACAAAAAACAAGAGAAAAAAATGCCCTCTCACAAACACAACATTTCAAACATCATCTCGCCTGTTGCAGCCACAGTGCACCACCACCAACCAGGCGTAAGCGACCATGTCCTAGGTCAATTACTCAACACAAGAACGATGGTGGGACGGCACAGATTCTCATCCCTACCCACAGTGACCGCACAACAGCATCCACGTAGCTATGTATCTCCCGCACTCGTTACCAATGAATGCCTTCTTCGTAGACAACGCGACACTCACCTCTTCTACCGTGTCATGAACTAACGACGTGGGTCTTATACTTTTATCACGACCGCCCCCTCCCAAAGCGCTCCTCGCTATTTTACACGACCGACGGCATGGTTTCAACCACATGGTACAGAGCTCTTCCAAGCGCCAAGACAGGTGCATCGTGTTTCCGCACTAACGCACGGTTTCCGAGCACACTGCTGTGAGCTTGACGCGAGAAAGAGACTAAATACCGTTCGTTGTGAAGATCAAACCAAGTCGCTTCCCGTGTGTTCTGCCCCCACCCCCACAGAAAAACAATTGCTCGTCGCCCACTGGGTGGCAGAGTCTCCAATGGTATATATTCAACCACATCTTACAGAGCTTGCTGGCGCCAAGACGGGTGCTTCGTAGTTCCGCACGAATGAACGCGCGGGTTCCGAGCACACCGTGACTCTTGACGCGAGAAGGTACTACAACATGGAGATCAAACCAAGGAGCAGCCCGAAAAAATTGCTCCGTTCTACACAGCCAACGGTCAGTCCGCATGCTCTTCCAAAACTTCCTTCCTCCTCTAGATCGACACCGCCAAAAACAGCTACCCCACACCGCAGGCGGTTTTTCCTCGGACATGTCACGCGAACCCACGTCTAGGCGTTACGATGGGAGGCTCAAACGAAGCAAAATCTGTGNGTCTAGATCGACACCGCCAAAAACAACTACCCCACACCGCAGGCGGTTTTTCCTCGGACATGTCACGCGAACCCACGTCTAGGCGTTACGATGGGAGGCTCAAACGAAGCAAAATCTGTGTATCCGCAACACTGCTACTAACTCTCCTCGTACAGCACTTGTTGCGAGGCACAGGCGAACAGCCGTAGCCATCATCACTACGCATGTCACACAAGCAACATCCCACAGCACATCCTGGATAAAAGAAGCAACAGGAACAACACCGACTACCGACAAGCACACGCGTTTAGAGAAAATTCGCATGTAGTAATGGTGTCCAAGCACTGTTGTGTACTTGTATCGTCCTCAGTGGGAGGACCTCGTCCGCTTGGTCCTCCTGCGACCCGCACGCTTGCTCTGTGTATCGTCCTCAGTGGGAGGACCTCGTCCGCTTGGTCCTCCTGCGACCCGCACGCTTGCTCTGTTGTAGCAGAAAAGCGGTTTGGGGGGGTGCGGGCAAGGAGAAGCAACCTGGTGAAAAACATTGAACAATTGCATGCAGGACAGAGCGAACGAGTTCGGCATCACGCTGGCCGATATGAGCGAGGGTGCGATGCTGGAGAGAAGTGCATGAGGGGGTACGGCATGCACAAGAAGAACACGCTGACTCTAGTGCAGCGGCGACCCAAAGCAACCGGCACCAAAGTGTGGGATGAAGAAAAATAGCACACCGCACGGCTTGCCAAACGTGCTGTACTATTTTCTATGGCATGGTTCTCGCAAACTTAAACAAGAGTCACATTGATTGGTTCTACAGGTACAACAAACGAAACTTGACCATGAAGANAAGTGTGGGATGAAGAATAGCACACCGCACGGCTTGCCAAACGTGCTGTACTATTTTCTATGGCATGGTTCTCGCAAACTTAAACAAGAGTCACATTGATTGGTTCTACAGGTACAACAAACGAAACTTGACCATGAAGACAAGAAAGGCCTGTCTGTCTATCTACACGAATAGCTGTTAGTGCGTAAGACAAGAGGTAGCGACTACACACAGAGGACCAAGCACCAGCACGCAAAGAACAATCACCTGCGGGGAGGGCTCGTCCATCAGCTCGTCGATGACGTCGCAGACGGCCCAGAGGGTCTTCAACCGCGAACAGTCGCAGGGAGTGTCGGCGCAGGCTTCCTTGAATCCCACCAGGGAGTCAAACGCGTCCACCTCGGCCTGCGTCACTCTTTTTCCGAGGGACTCTAGCGCTGCTGATGCCGCTGTCTCCGCCTTATCGTGCTCGCGGGCGAGCTGGTCCCGCTCCGCCCTCTTCGTGTGGAGGGTCTTCTCTGCTGCTTCGTAGGTTTTGCTGGCCTCCTGCAGGTGCGACTGCTTCTGGAGCCAAATCAACTCGTAGATGCCATCCTCCGAGGCCTTCTGCAAGTTGCTGAAGGGTGTCGGCTTCCGCTCCTGCCTGGCCCGTTTCTTGCGCTGCTCCCGGCAGGGTTCGTCA